TCATTGTGTTCAGCACTTTTTATAGTCTCATTTATTTCATTTACTTTAGCATCTCTACACTGGAGATCAAGTTTCAGAGTCTCTTCTGATATCTATTTTCATCATTTCCTTCTTTCTTGTCTTCTTAATGACCTTTTGCTTTCTTCCTTTATGATGTCCTTAATAACCCACAACTCTTCTAGTTTTCGATCATTAATATCTAATGCATCAAATCTGTTCTTGAAGTTATCCCTGAATTCAAGTGGGTCACATTTTGGCTCTCGACTTGTTTTAATTTTCTTCCATTTCAGCCTGAACTTGCATATGAATAATTGATGGTCTGTACCCTGATCTTGTTTTGGCTGATGATACTGAGCTTTTCCACCATCTCTTTCAACAGATGTAGTCAATTTGATTTCTTTGTTTTCCATCTGGTGAGGTCTACGGGTATCTTTTACATTGTTTAAAAGGGTATTTCTAATGAAGAAGTCATTGGTCTTGCAAAATTCTATCATGAAATCTCCAGCATCATTTCTAACACCAAGGCCATACCTTCCAACTACTGATCCTTTTTCTTTGTTTCCAACCTTTGCATTCTAATCACCAGTAATTATCTCTTACCTAGTTAACTGCAGATTAACTGTAAATGTCTCCCAAGGGATTCTGCTTCTACCCTTGTGTCCATACAGGCTAGAATTAGCTTTTTAAAGTTTAGATCAGGTCATGAGACTCCTCTTGTTAAGATCTAACAGTGGCTCCCCATTTTTTCACTGTAAAAGGCAAAGTCCTTACAATGGCCTACAAAGTCCTGTATTATCTGATTCCCGCCCCCTCTCTAACCCTTAACTCTGATCATTGACAGGCATGCTCCTGCCTCAGGACTTTTGCACTGACTATTCTTCATCTTTTTTGCTCAAATGTCAGCTTCTCCATAAGGCCTTGTTTAACCATCCTAGTTTAAATGACAGCTCACAGCCCCTTCCCAACTATGTTTCATTCATGCTTTCACTTGGGCTTATTTTTTAATGTCTTATAAATGTATTGTTTTCCTATATTTATGTATTCTGTCTTCTCCTCTCAAGGAGGGAAAGGACTATTATTTTTATTGTAATCTATTTTTCTCACTTATGTATCCCCATTTCAAGCACCGTATCTAGCACATAGTTGTTATTATTGTTAGGTGCCACTGAGTCAGTTCCAACTCATAGAGACCACATGCACAACAGAACAATCCACTGTTATGTTTGAACCCATTGTTATCACCATTGTGTCAATTCATCTTATTGGGGAATCTTCCTCTTTTTCGCTGACCCTCTGCTTTACCAAGCATGATGTCCTTCTCCAGGAACTGGTCCCTACTGATGACATGTCCATAGTATAAGAAATGAAGTGTTGCCATCTTTGTTTCTAAGGAACACTCTGACTATCCTTCTTCCAAGGAAGATTAGTTTATTGTTCTGGCAGCCTATGAGATGTATCGATTCTTCTACTGTCTTCCTTATTCATTGTCCAACTTTCACATGCATTTGAGGCTACTGAAAATACTGTGACTTGGTCAGATGCACCTTAGTCCTCAAAGTGACATCTTTGCTGCCCTTGGCCTTGTTTTGGCTGATGATAGGAAGCTTTTCCACCATATCTTTCCACAGATGTAGTCAATTTGATTTCTGTGTATTCCATCTGGTGAGGTCCATGTGTATAATTGCCTCTTATACTGTCTAAAGAAGGTATTTAAAATGAACAAGTCATTGGCCTTGTAAAATTCTATCATGCGAGCTCCCGCATCAATTTTATCACCAAGGCCATATTTTCCAACTATTAATCCTTTCTTTTTGTTTTCAACCTTTGCATTCCAATTCATCAGCAATTATCAATACATCTTGATTGCATGTTTGATCAATTTCAGACTGAAGAAGCTGGTAGAAATCTTCAATTTCATCATTACTGCCTTTAATGCTTCATTTGTAAATATGAATAATAGTGGTATTAACTGGTCTTCCTTGTAGGTGTATAGATATTATCACAGCGTTGTACTTCAAGACAGATCTTGATCTGTTCTTTTTGATGATTAATGTGACACCATTCCTCTTTCATTTCCAGCATAGTAAACCACGTGATTGTCAGATTCAAAATGGCCAATACCAGTATATATTTCAGCTCACTAATGCCTCGTATATATTTATGCATTCCATTTCACTTTTGACAATTTCCAATTTTCATAGATTCATACTTTGTACATTCCATGTTCTGATTATTAATGGATGTTTACAGCTGTTTCTCTTCATTTTGAGTTGTGCCTCATCAGCAAATGAAGGTCCAGTAGTAGGCTTTACTCCATTCGCTTCATCATAGTCAACTCCACTTTGAGGAGGCAGCATTCTGAGTGCCTTCTAACCTGAGTGGCTCATCTTCTGGCTCTGTATCTGACAGTATTTTGGTGTTCTTCATCATGTTTCAATATTCAATATTCTGGTGCTAACGGTGTTCCACTGTTATTCATATGATTTTCAGTGACTAAATATTCAGAAGTAGTCTGTCTCTCCTTCTTCCTAGTCTGTCTTCATCTAGAATCTCAACTGAAACCTATCCACCATGGGTAACTCTAGTGGTATTTACAATACCTGTGGCATAGCTTCCAGAATCACAGCAACAGGCAAGCCACCGCAGCACAACAAACTGACAGACAAGTGGTGGATTCTGATTCATAGTGACCCTGTAGAGGGTTTCCAAGGCTGTAAACCTTTACAGAGCAAAAATTCTCATCTTTCTCCCCAATGGTAGGTTTGAACTGTTGATGATGTAATGACATTGATTACATCTTTCAATTGTGCAATCATTCTCAATTTCCTTTTCTGAGTTGTTCCTCCTTCATCAATTTAAACTCACTGCCCCCTAAGAATTCTATCTGACCTTTGAGATTGCTGTTAACAATCTGATTCTATATAAATAAGGTATTAAAAGCACATAATACCCAAGATGACATTTTAAAGCAGGTAAGCTAAAGTATTGTTTGGTTTTAAGAGGATCTCACAGGATGTTTTGGCTTATGGTTTAAAGATGATCTCAGTAACTCCATGGCAGTGGGCCTTATGATACTATATTATTAATTATATTATCATACAATTAATATAATAATGTTGTTGTTGTTAGGTGCCATTGAGTTGGTACCAACTCATAACAACCTTATGCACAACAGAAGGAAACACTGCCCGATCCTGGGCCAACCTCACAATTATTGCCACACTTGAGCCCATCTTGCTAGGGATCTTCCTCTTTTTCTCTGACTTTCCACCTTACCAAACATGATATCCTTCTCCAATGACTGGTCCCTCCTGACAATATGTCCGAAGTATGAGAGATGAAGTCTGGCCATCCTGGCCTCCAAGGAGCACTCTGGCTGCACGTCTTCCAACACAGATCTGTTGGTTCTTTTGGCAGCCCATGGCACTTTCAATATTATCCTCCAACACCATAACTCAAATGCATCAATTCTGCTATCACTTGTCTGTCAGTTTTTCATACTGGTCGCTTGTGAGTTACTGTGATTCTGGAGGCTATGCCATGGGTATTTTAAATACCAGCAGGGTCGTGGACAGGTTTCAGGTGAGCTTCCAGACAAAGACAGACTAGGAAGAAGGAGAGACGAACTACTTAAGAATATTTAGTCACTGAAAACTTTATGACTAGCAAAGAAAATGTAGCATTTATTTATTAAACATCTATTGCATTTTACTTAATAAAATGTTACTCTGAAGTTAAATTGGACAGTGGTTTCCTCCTTCTAGTTCCCTATTGTTTATATCAGTGGCAAATAGACCATGAGGGGGACCAACTGTCTCTGTATTTACTGTAGACCAAGTACACTGAAAAACACGAACAACTAAAATTAATAGTATCCATTCTATAGACAGAGTTCTGGTGTAGCACTGTAGGGTAAGCACTGGACTGCTAGCCACAAGCTGCTCCTTGGAAACCCTAGACAGGTCACTGTGAGTCAGAACTTACTGGGTACCACTTAACAACAGCAACAGTATTCCTTCTGCAAGACAAGGCAAAGGTTAACATCTCCAAGTCTGATTGCTATAGGCCTGCTTTCCTAAAAAGGAACTGATTCCCACAAAGTTCCGAGGACAACTGTCACAGTCTGTGTGTAGGGCAGTAAATCCTGAATGAATATAGAACACTGTGCCCATATCATTCAATGAGACCAGGGGAAGTTGTGGAGCTTTCCAGTACATGAGCAGATTTCGGTATAAATGTTACAGGGTAAGAATTGATAGCGGTGTTCAAGTGCTGCCTGAATCATGTTGTTAGGTAAAGGGCCCTAAGAATCCCACTGTAACCAGGCTAGGTCTCGTTAACTAACCAAGCCTGAAATGGACAACAAGGGACTCACACTCCACGAGACTCCATGTGTTTCCTCCTACTGACTGTCCCTCCAGAAACTTGGCCTGTGGTATCCATTTGCTTTTACAGGTTGTTGCTAAGTGTCATCAAGTCAGTTCCGAATCATAGCAACCCTGTATAGGGTTTCTGAGGTAAGTTTAGTCTGACCACCTTGTGGGTCCAGTGCTTTTCCCGCATTGCCACACATAGGTGTTATTGTTGTTGCTAAGTGCCATCAAGATGGTTCTGACTCACAGCAACTCTATATAGGGTTTCCAAGGTGAGTTTGGGCTGATCACCTTGCGGTTCAAATCAACCTTGGGGTCTGGTGCTTGTCCAGCACCAAACATAAGTAGCTGTGCTTGTTTTCATGTCCACTATGATGGCCTGGTGTGGCGCTGTGGGTTAATGAGCTGGACTGAAAGGTCGGTTTGAACTGCAAGGTCAATGGTTAAAGCTCACCAGCCATTCCTCGGAAACCCTATACAGGGTCGCTATGGGTCAGAACCAACTTGATGTCACTTAAGAACAACAGCAGCATATATTTCAAAGACACCCATTGTCATTTTTTAGCTAAAACATAAAACCTCCTCCCTAAATCTTGTCCCTCTGGGACCAAAATTAGACAAGCCTACCTTACAACTACAGTTGACATTGGAGGCTCCTTTATGGCTTTTCTCCATAATCGGCATCTCTTCCACCCATGACTTGCATTGTCGTTGGCTCTTCTTTTCCATATGAGCTGACTGCTTGGCTTTGGAGTCAGGTGAATCTCTTCGAGCAACTGCTGTCTTGCTAACATCCTTTCTAAGCCAGATAGTTCAGAATCCCTACCTGAGAAGAGGAGAACATTAATTCATTCACTGCTCCTTTGCATAGTAAATGTAGCCAGGCATTAATTTGAGAAAAATACTTATGCCATCTAGTAAAGCCTACTTAGCTTTACCATTCCTTCATCTCAAAAATATTACTGAGCAGCATGCAGGCTTTCACCTGGTCCTAGACAGTTAACAGATGCACAGAAAATGAATGAATCAGTAAGCAAACAAGGTGTGCTGGTAATGCCACAAATACTACTGGGGTTTTTGTTTGTTTTTGCTTTTAAGCAGAAAAGAATTTCAGTGATGTTGGGAAGGAACAGAATCAACGGAACGAAAGAACCAGAAATGGAGATGATCAGTCTCATAGATACCTGTTATCAAATGGTCTCAACTACTGTTTGTTTGTTTTTTAAT